ACCAAATAGTTTCCAAACACCATCTCCTGATTCTAAGCAATGTGGGAGTAGTAGATGGTATTTCTAGAAGTTCTTTTTGCTTCTTTTTCAAGTTTTCCATTAAAAAAATAGTTTTCAAGCTGGCCGTGGTGCCTCATGCCTTCAAGACCAGCCTGAGCAATAGCAAGACCCTATCTCTACTACAAATAGAAAAATTAACTGGGCATCATGGGTGGGCACCTGTAGTCCCAGCTACTCAGGAGGCTGAAGCAAGAGAATCTCTTGAGCACAAGAGTTTGAGGTTGCTGTGAGCTATGACACCTGGTCACTCTACTGAGGACAACAACATGAGACTCTGTCTCTAAATAAATAAATAAATAAAATAATTGTTTTCATGGCTGGATGAAGTAGCTTATGCCTGAAATGCCTGTAATCCTAACACTCTGGGAGGCCAAAGGGGAGGATCCTTTGTGCTCAGGAGTTTGAGACCAGCCTGAGTAAGAGCAAGACGGTGTGTCTACTAAAACTAGAAAAAATTAGCTGGATGTGGTGGTGCATGCCCCTGTAGTCCAGCTGCTCAAAAGACTGAGGCAAGTGGATTGCTTAAGCCCTGAGTTTGAGGTTCCAATGACTTATGGTAACACCACTGCACCCTAGCCTGGTAATAAGATCAAGACTGATAGCTATTATTTATTTATTTATTTAGAGACAGAGTCTCACTTTATCACCCTCAGTGGAGTGTGGAGGCATCATAGCTCACAGCAACTTCCAACTCCTGGGCTTAGGCAATTCTCTTGCCTCAGCCTCCCAAGTAGCTGGGACTACTGGCGCCTGCCACAATGCCCAGCTATTTTTTTGTTGTTGTTGTTGCAGTTTGGCTGGGGCTGGGTTCGAACCTGACACCTTCGGTATATAGGGCCAGCGCCCCACCCACTGAGCCACAGGTGCCACCCAAGACTAATAGCTGTTTTCCAGCTTCAATTTTTCTGTGAATGCATAAAACAAACAAAAACTTGTGTTTGTGTATTAAAATATTTGAAATCTGGCTCGGCGCCTATAGCTCAACCGGCTAAGGCGCCAGCCACGTACACCTAAGGTGGCGGGTTCGAATCCCCAGCCCGGACCCGCCAAACAACAATG